AGAAGCGCTGCCCTCCAGTGCATCCATGCAGTCACTACACCTACCTTTTGTACTCCCGTTTGTGGATGGACCAGAGCAAAGCTTCAGAGGTCGGGGGCGGGACGGGCTGAGAATTCCGCAGATCCTGAACGGACATTCCCATTTCACAGATGTGGACACTGATGCCGAGAAGGGGACGTGACAACAGACGTGAGATCCTCGAGGGAAGGACTTTGTTTCATTTTTGGTCATTGTATCACTAGCCCCTAGTAAATGTAGTGCACTTTGTAGGTACTTAATAAATAGTTGAACTGGCCAGGGTACCACTGGTGATTAAGAATCAATTCTGGTTAATTCAAACCCAGGATGGTATAGTTAGTAGAAGGAGCAGTGGCCTGGGAGACGTGGGGCATCAGGGGTGGGGTGGCTCCCAGCTCAGGCACTTGAGGCTATGACTTATGGCAAGTTACTCTTGGCCCTTTCTTTATCAGCAAAGTGAGAGATGAGATTGGGGGTGCTCCATCTTTTTTGTCATGGGCTCCCACTTTTGGCAGTCTACTAAAGCTTTTGAACCCCTCCTCAGAAAAAGGTTTGTTGCCCACATTCAGAATTTAAATGCTAACTTTTCAGTTAGGCTAGTAAAGATTAAAGATATACTCCCCCCACCCCCACCCCATCCAAGTTCTGGGACCCTGAGAGGCTAAAGATCTTTGGATTAAATTCTGTACTCTTTTAATTACACCAGGTGCAGGGATGCTTTGGAGGAGTTTGAAAACTGAGCAGGCTCAAAGTTCAGCTCTGGAGGCACCGGAGAGGGAGGGCTGGACCCCACTGAACAAGCAAGGATGCTCAGATGCAAGAGGTCATAGTAGTTAAAATACTTATTTGGGGTTCTATTAGGTTTCTTTGAGCTGCTGTCACTTGAACCTCTAGGTCCTCTTGTTCCCTTTTGGAGATACTTTTTCCTTTCCAAGTGATTGTTCTATACCTTGGGACTATCGTCTGGTCACCTGCTATCTGCTGAGGATAAGAAGTGAGGAAGGGGTCAGAGTACAGGACCAGAAAGGAAAGCTTATAGGAGTTGAGGTGATCCCACTCAAACAACAAAACAGGACATCAAGAATCACTTCTATGTTTAAGCAGGCCGAGCAAAGGAGGCCTCTTTCATCGTCTTCGAGGAATGAAGGCTATGAACCGTGTGGAGTGGAAAGGTGTCAGCTTAGGTTACAGGAACCTTGCAGATACTGAAGTAGGTACACCAGAAGAAATGAGGATGGACCAGATAAGCTCCAGACCTGCCCGCTTTGTGAGGCGTGGTTATATCCCTACACCACAGTACTGAAAGGTCCCAAAGACCCGCAATGGCACTGACTCCTACTTTTTTCTTTCTAAAGAAATAACTCTTCCCAGTCACAGTTTATTAACTGCTGCCTCAGCCCAGTCAAGGAATGAGAAAGACAGAGGGAAATGCGGGCATTACTCAGAAATTGGATCAATCTTTGGACTAGACGGCCTCCAAGGTCCCGTCTGGCTTTACTGCAATGACCCCTTTGTAAGACAGTTCAGTTTTCCCCACCTTGCAGGTGCACGCGCACACACACACACACTCTCACACAGAGGGCCTGAGGGAGTGCAGGCCAGGGGAGCTGGGCCTCCTTCATCGCCCACTTCAACGGTCACTGCTATTTGTCCATTCTTCACACTCAGTGTCCCGACTTGTTCCAGTCTGGATGCCGCAGGAATTTAAGATTTTGAAGGTTCTTCTTCTAAAGGAGCATAATCTTGGTTTTGATGTATAATAAAAAACAAAAACACTACTCAGCCAGAGTCCTGATTGGTTTTTTTCCTCAAGCTCAAAAAAGGGCTGGAGAATTACGTTAACTGCCAATAATAAACAAGGGTTATGGGAGTCCAAAAGAAGGCTGTTCTCACTCATTTCTATGAATCTTCAAATTCATAATTTATGGCAGTTGGGTTCAATCATGGTGACAGGGTATTTTCAATTTCATCTCAAGGGAAAATTAAAAGAAATGCATTGAAACTGCAGCAGAAGGTATTAAATTGAACAAATTCCAGAAAAAATGTGACTTTGAGGAGGGCTATTCCACATGATGGGCTACGGGAGACTTCAACATAACAGCTAAGGTTTATATAATGCTTTTACAGGATTTTCCATGATTACTGCGACTGATCTTCAGTAGAGAGCTTTTATATGTAAATCACTACATACATGAGATGCCTAGAGCAGGTAGGAATGAAGCTTGGATGGCTATTCAAGGTTTCTCCTTTAAAAGACAGACCTGTTAGTCTGTATGTAGAAAGGAGCCTCTCAATGTAAGTCTACAGATTGGGAAACAGTTAAAACTAGAGGTCAGCTATTTGCCAAGCATCAGGAGAAGGGGAAAGATGGGGGGGGGGAGCTGATCAAAAACACACCTTAGCAAAAATCTTTATCCACTGGAAGCTGCCTTTTCCCTATAACCTGCTGTGGCAGGTGGCTAGCTGACCGCAACTTGTCTCAGGAAATGTCATGCCTAAGTCAGGCAGGACTTGTGAAGTTGGACTTGGAACAATCAATTACGTAAGAAAATCTGTGATAGACCTGTTCCCACCCTAGGCTTAAATGCTATGAAACGAGGAGGTGGGAAGAAAGTCAAAAAAGATAGTTGTTTCTTGCTCCTTTCTCCCTACAACACATGGAATGGACCTTGATAAGGAAAGTGACCTGGTTTTTTAATCTTACCTAGCTTCCATACAGGTTGATGCAATACTGATTATTTTTTTCTTTCAAAGCACATACCTACATATCTTGCAAGCAACTTCATGAGATCAAAAGAAACAGCAGGTCCCTTAGGAAATAATGGGTACTCCATGAAAGGAAGGTAAGAGACACATTCACGGTACTATCAATGTATTAAAAAGCAAATGGCCAAAGTCCACTTCCATTAAAACAAGCAGTCAAAGCTGAGGCTAGGTGTACAATATGCTCTGACGACGAAAATAAAGTAGACCAAGGCCCTATGGAAGAAGTGATGCAAATGGGAGGAGACTGACAGAGCAAGCTGGGGTTGGGGCTGGAGCAGATGAGCCGTCTGGGACATTTCTAATGGCAAATACAGCCCCTTCTGGGGGGCTGCTGAAGTAGCTTCCCTTTGTTCCAGGCAGCCCCCTTTGAAATGCTTCCTTCTTCCGTCAAACAGATGCATTGGCTTTCTCTTCAGAACAGGTTTGCAATCAGCTCCTCAGCACTTAAAAAAAAATCCCAGGTCTTAGGGTTCCCCCTCTGAACTTTTGACTCACCAAATGAGTTGCAGAACTAAGGCTGTCTAACAATACAGAAAGTTTCTTTTATTTCTTATGAGGAATGTATATCTTCAATCACTGATATCTAGGGATAGTTAAAGGCAGAATTATAAAGCAAGTATATTGTGGTCAGTTTTCTCACATTTACATTTGCTTCTCTGTTCTGCTCTCAAAAGCTATTGCCAAAAGCCCCCCAAACGGCAAACTAAGTCCCTTCAGGTTCAAAAGGGAAATTGGTTCAGGTGGAGATAATTTATGCTAAGTGATTTCTCTAAGGGATATACAATTGCAACTGTTCAGGCTTACCAACCATTGCATTTTTCCCCCTTTTGGAAGGAAGGTTGAGGAGGATTGTGATAAAGGGGCTAAAGATCCAAGAAGAAATCTCATAAAATGGTATCAGATCCATCCCTGGGAAATTCCACCTTCCCCTTCTCCACTGCTCAGCAGCAGACAAAGGAGGGGAGGTGTGTGTCTAAACGGAGTAGGAAGGAGAGAGTGGGGCAGAATTATCGGTCTCAAACACACATTCCCTTGCTCAATGTTCCTAGAACACAAACAGAATCATTAATGAGGGATGGAGCTATGTTTGATACATTGCAGCCTTCTCATAAAAATAATGTTCACCATTCTACATGGTGTGGGCCAGAGCCAACAAAGTATGTTTTGCTGGAGGTTTCTAACTTCCAACCAAAGCAGACTGTGGTGGGGGTTGTCAAACACTCCAATTCTATCAACGAGTAATGAAGGAGGAAGAAAGAGATGATAATGCTCCTAATCTGGGGACCCGGGATAAAAGAACTTCTGTCTAGGAGATTCCTAACTACAGTAGTCACAAGATCTCACTGCCTGCTGGGGCAGGTACCACAATATTACCAGCTTCATCCAACCTATGATTGAAAGGGATGAAAAGTACACTGGAGACAGGGGACAAGGGCCTTTGCCCTTCTTTACTAAGAAGGGCACTATTTTTCAACATGCTCCTTGGGACATTATGGTATGCTGCAGAGACACTCTTACCATGTCATGACATCCTGGCTTTCCTCACTCCCCTTAGATAATTTCTGATTAAGAGGATGGACTGCTACATAGCAAGTGTGGGTACACAGATACATATATATGTAGATATAAAAATGAATGTGTGCATGTTTATGCTTGGGTTTATATATTTGGAGGTGTGCAGGTATGAATAGATGATTGGACCAGTGGATTGCTTGGAGGATGGGAAGGAGTATGTCTTGGCAAGATAACAGGTATAACTGTATCAGTACCATTCTAGGGAGAGCTAGAGAAAAGACAGATGTTAAGGGTGAAATGTTTTTGCTATTCTCCCTGAGATATCTGCCTAATCTTTACCCCAGCTTGAGCGCTGGTGATGAAGGTGGAGACAAGAATATCTTGGGTCAAGGAGACACTGGGCCTGAGCATCTAACTCAGCGTTAAGTCAGCAATTTCAGGAAACCTTGCTTTTTGCCTACAAAGTCCACTTTCTCCCCAACAAGCAGGGGAAACAAACCATCCTATAGGCCTATGTACTGGTCAAGAATCATCTCTATCAATGATCAAAACCACATGGAAATACTTCTAATATAATTGAAGGATTAAGGTGCTAATTTTAAACTTGAATGACAACTCTTGGTTACCTGTGGGAATGAAAAATTAATAACATGTATTTTTAAACCCCCTATTTTTGCCAACACAAGTCAATGTTCCTTGGCATGGCTGGCAAGAGATCTAGTACTTGATTGACTTGAAGCTGGTCTGACCCCCCAGCATGGCAACTGTCATGCTCTTTTTTTTGTTCCCCACTGATTGATGATTTAGGCTGAGGAGGTTATACAACACCTTTGGGATCTGACCCAGGAACTGTCCCACTCAGCTGTTTTGGGGTAAAGGCCCTCTTACCTTTAGTAGGGAAATTACTATGGAAAGCAACTATCAGCAATGGGGCTTAAAAATAGCTGGGATTTGGGGGCTCCATCTCCCTCCAGTAGTGTTCTTGCCCCTACTGCACCGGGGAACTAAACACGTAGCCCTGGAAGAGTTTCTTTCCTCCTCTCCTCCTTCCCTCCCATCATTGCTACGAGTCAGTATTATGCTTTCCACATCCACCCACTCTCAACTGGGTAGAAGGATACGTGACTACTGGGTTTTTTGGGTAGATTAGCTGTAGATTTTGATTATACTAATGCTTTCCTTTACTGGCACAGATAACCATGCTGACTGTGTCACTTCAGCCTTTCTTCTCTTTGAAAATATTTTTGCCCAATACCTGAAATTCACCACTGCGTTCACCCTCCTCAGGGGGAAATGTGGAGTGGCCAGACAATTTAAGGAAAGGGAAAGAAGGGAAGGCGGAGAAACCAAAGGACCTGGGATAAACCGCAAATTATATCAGTCTCTGAATCACAAAGAGCTGCCCGGAACCTAATCAAGACCTCAAGAAGTGAATGCAGCAAAGAAAAAGCTCGAGGGAACGGCTTGCATTTGCCCAATGATTGCTTTTGCTTATTAGAGATAGAAGAGCTCTTCTCTCCCCCAACAGATTTCTGCCTCTTCTCCGGGAAGACAGGTAGTGACAAGGCCTCGCCCATCCTACCCTTCCCCAACAACCTCAGAGGAGGCAGGACAAATGGGAACCCAAAGCCCTAAATATTAGCAATGCTGGGTCCATTAAAAACAAAACAAAACACCAACATAATGAAGAGTGCTACCTCCCACCTCCCACCCCAAACCCTGAAATACCCCTGAACAACCAGCTGAGCACACTACGCATCACAGAGGGAAAAGTTCTTTTCCTCCAGAGGTTTGCTGATCCAGCTGCCGAAGCCCATGTCCTTCAGACCTTTTATGAAGTAGTGCTTGGCCACCTGGTAGTCCCGGGCAGCTTCCTTGGCTTCGTTATAGGAAACAAGCCTCAGTAGGTCCTTTCGGTTGTGATGGGCACATAGCTGCTGAAACAGGCTGAACATGCTCCTCTTGGAGAGACGTGATACATCGAGTCTTGGTCTACAAAAACAGGAATATTTTGCTCATTAGGGCCTGAAAAGGTCAGTTATGGAAGTCCCCAAAGTAGAGAAACTATCAAGCAAACCCTAAGGAAGCAGACTGAATTCACACTAATAGTTTCATATAAGACTCTCTAGACCTGGGATCACAGATTATGTCATAAAGCATTTAACCCTGGAAAGGACCCTAGAAATCTTCTCCTGCAGCCCTCTGATCTTCCTGATGAGAAAACTGAAGTCCAGAGAAGGGAGAAAACTGGCCCTTGACCTCACAGCTAGTAAAGGGCAGAGCTGGGGCTTGCGCCCAGCACAACGCCCACTAAACCCCACAGGGACTTAAGGAAGATGCTTCCTCCCACTTCTCCCAGTACAAACCCGTACCCATCCACTTTGCCTTTGGTGCCGTCCAGGACCTCGATTTCAGTTCTGTCAGCCACACACCAGTTAACACTGGACTCCTTGGTCTTCCCAGTCTGCCTTGTGGAATCATATACACTGACCCTGCCCACCTACAGAAATCCAGGGGAAATAGGTCAAAAGTGGATATCTCTTTTGACTGTGGGATGCAGAGGCAGGGGCCCATGGGGTCTAGGGAAAGAGGAAGTGAAGAAGGGGGAAGAACCCTCTTTCAAATGAATTCCATAAAGGTCTGAAGAAGAGGTGCCATTCTCCAAGGGAGGGCAGAAAGGTCCATGAGGATGAAAGCTATTTCCTCCTAACCCATTCAAATATACACAATTGTTGTTGTTGATAGGGCTATTATATTATATGATTATTATTATTATTAATTTTTTGACAAGGCAACTGGGGTTAAGTGACTTGCCCAGAGTCACACAACTAGAAAGTGTTATGTATCTGAGGCTGGTTTTGAACTCAGGTCCTCCTGACTCCAGGGCCGGTGCTCTATCCACTGCACCACCTAGCTGCCCCAGCAATTTTTTTTTTTTTTTTTGCTTTTTTGGTGAGGCAATTGGGGTTAAGTGACTTGCCCAGAGTCACACAGCTAGGGTCAAGTGTCTGAGGCCAGATATGAACTCAGGTCCTCCTGACTCTAGGCTGTAGCGCTATCCACTGTGCCACCCAACTGTCCTGATAGGGCTATTTTAAAGGGACGTAAAAGTTATAGCACCTTAGGATGGTTGACAGTGTATGGAGGCTTTAGCCCTTCTCGGAATGCACGTTCCTCTTTGGACAGACGGCAGCAGATCGCTCGTGTCAGGTGTCCCTGGCTGTACAAGTAACCTAAGTAATAAAAAAAATGAACACATGCATCAACAAATCAACCAATCAAGTACTTATTAAATGCAAGCAAACACAGTGTTTCTGCTCTGAGCACTCTTAAAAGGCAGGTGCATGCCAGGGCCTATAACAGATGTATCTAAGCAAGCAAATACCTTCCTTGTGGGGAGAGGAAGTGTCCAGTTGTCTCATTATTGCAGATTCCCTAGCATAAGCTTGGGTTAGTAAAATATTACACACCACATAAAGACACCCACAGAATCAAAGACTATGGAGCATAAAGAGACACTGACATTGCACTTCCAGCTACCGTATTTCTTTAACTTATCTTGGAAGAATGTTGCTGGGCATGACTTGATGGGGGCCCAGTTGCTTTAAAAGTTCAAACTGATTTTCTTACAACAGCGGAGAGGGCACACAGAATCAATTAACGGGCCAACTTATAAAGCACCCTCTGTAAATGGGAGGCCTCCCACTAATGCCAGACAATGCAGAATGCCACCTGCTGGGGTCCAGGCACTACCAGCTCACCCCAATCCCAGATCCATGCCAAGTCCCTCACCAAGAGTGACTGAGTTGAGATAAATAGGCTGCAAGAAGTGGGAGAGCATCGCCCCCTGCAGGCCAAGCACATTCCAACGAAGAATCTTATCACTGCAGGACATAGTACGCAGTCTTTCTCCATGTTGAATGCCATCCCATGTTGGCAGGATATCACTCGACTCCACTGGGATTGTACCTTCTCCTGTTAAAGACAGGAGAAAGATCTAAAGGCAACCTTTACAATCCCACTGAGGATGCCAGCCCATAACCATTCCCCGATGTGCTATTTATGTACTCATACTATGTCATCCTAAACTCTTAAGTTCCTACAGGGCAAAGACAGTATTGTGGGTGTGGGGCCTTTAATACTTGGAACCCTCATTCTGACCACCAAGCCAGGAGACTTGCCTCTCTGCCGTTGGTTAGAGCCTATTCTTGGGGTCACTGGAACTGAACCATTCCGGGGTCTCTTCCAACTCTAAGAATTTGCGAGTCAATGTCACAGCTAAACAACCAGTTTTCCTTGACCCTCCTTGCCTTGACTTAGATCTATCAACATTACTCCTTTACCACCAACCATTCTTACTGACACATTTTTATCTGTTTCTTCCACCCCTGGCTCCAAAAAAACGCTAACAAGTTTAGTTAGAATTAACAAGGCTGTTTCTCTTGCTCACTGTAGTCTATGTCATTTCCATTTGTGAATATTGTTTTCTCAGCCTCTAAGTTCTCAGGTGGCAAGAACTATGTCACATAGACAGAGGGGACTTAAAGGTATTTGATGGTGAGAATATAAAGTGATTTCCACCTGTCCCCTGTAATCATTGTGGAATTGAACTTGGGGGGAAGGGGGAGGCATCTGTGACTCACCATTTTCTACCTTGGTGCGCAGCTTGCCTTGTTTAGGGTTCTCAAAGAGTGGCTGGTGCTGTGAGTCCATGAAACTCTCTGGAGGATCACTGCATGTCTTGTCGAAGAGGGCACCATCTCCACAAGGGGCAGTGCTGAAACACAGAGAGGGAGGTCTGCTGGACTCAGGTTCCCTCTCAGTTTCTTAGGGGGACACTTGGAAGAACACTTAGGTTCAGAGTCAGAAGATCTGCCACTTACTAGCTATGTGACTTCTATGTGACCTTGGACAAATCATTTCATTTCTCAACTAGTTTCCCCACCTGTAAAATGGGAATATTAATGCACGATCTACCTTCTGCACAGGATGGTAAGGCTCAAATGTGATAATATATAAAGGACTTTAAAGTGAGATGTAAATGTGGGCTATTAATTTTTCTGTGTCTTGTCAAATTCAATATAGAGACATAAAGCCACTTTTTCATTTGTAGCTTTAATTCCATAGGCAGGCTCAAATTTCTAAGAGACAGGCCTGTATTTCACTAACTCATGGTAGAGAAACCAACAAGAGTATGAGGTTCCCAGAACAACAGGAACCAGAAACACTCCTTGGAATCACTGTCCATCGTTTGGGATGCGTTGTACAAGAATGTGAATGTGTACAGCTGTGTTGTGTGCCCTAAACACATGGATGAGTGAGTATGGGTTTCCATAGATATGTGTGATAAAGTCTGACTTGTGGACTAGCTCAGATGACACAATATCTTACTAATGACAGCTACCATTTATGCCGCACTCTAAGGCTTACAAAGCCCTTTATACATACACATTTCATTTCACCCTCACAATGACACTGGCAGATAGATGTTATTATTTCCATTTTAGAGAGGAGGAAACTGAGGTTCAGTGCCTTGCCCAGGGTCCCAGAGCTAGCAGTGCTAAAGGTGAGCTATAAAGCCATGCTGCTGTATCACATGGGTGTTTGGGGCCTCTCTCACGTCAGTGACCCTTCTCTAAGGACAAGACAAACTCAGATGAAGAAGAAGAATGAGAATGATGGCTAACGTTTATGGAGAGCTCACTAGATGAAAGACCAAGGGGAAATCCATACCAACCTGATGTAAAGGTGGAAAGTCACATTCCTTTTTATTTGTAACTTATTTCCATGGGCAACCTCGAATATACTGTCTTTCCAAGACATGGGATTGTATTTCATTAACTCATTGTAGAGAAACCTAACAAAAGAGAAGGAGGTTAAAGAAAAAGGTCTACTCCAGGGGCTGGTGCTTTTTCCTTCAGCCCCTCGATTTGTCTGAGACACACAAGGAGGTGTCTTCATGAACCAAACTTTTCAGTTTGCTCTCTAGCTATGCAAAGAGCTTCAGAAGGCTCAGGAGGCAATGGCAGAAACCACTTCGGTCCAGAGTTTACAAAGCTTGGTAAAACAGGGCAAAGCTACCTGCTTAATTTGGTTTTGATACTACAAATACTCATCCCTACAGTGGCTGAAGAGAAAAATCCTGTCTAAAACCACAGGAACACATTGCTTCTCCCAGAGTGTGTTTCCTATCCTATAGTCTAGGATAGACTAAAGAAAATCATTCAATGAAAACAGGGAGGCGGTAGACACAGGCTGGGCTTTTTATATGATAAAAACATTCCCAAGGGTAGTTAAGTCTGTCTCATTCCCATGACCCCAAATGCCAAGAAGTCATTTTTGACATCCAAAAAGGCTACAAAGGTAGCTAGGAAGACTAAGAAGCCAGAGCACTTAGAAACACGGCTTGGGGGCTCTTCACGGCTCATTGGGTAGGGCACCGATTCTTTCTAGAGAGGGGATGAATTCCTTAAGATCAATTCATACAGATGGGGTGGCAGTCTGAGGACTCACCTACTACACAAGACTATTTGGTTTTGGTCAGTCTCATTCAGTGGTGTCTGACTCTCTGTGACACTGCAGCACACCAATACTGTCCATAGGGTTTTCTTGGCAAAGATACTGGGGTGGTCTGCCATTTCCTTCTCCAGTGGATTAAGGCAAACAGAGGTTAAGTGACTTGCCCAGGGTCATACAGCTAATAAGTGTCTGAGAATGGATTTGAACTCAGGTCTTTCTGACTCCAGGCCCAGCACTCTATCTACTGAGTCACTTAGCTGCCTCTTACACAAGACAGTACGAAGCTTACAGCCAAACTACAGAGTTTAAGAAGCCAAAAGCTCAAAGCATCATTGTCAGGCTTGAAAGGAGATGAGGAACAGAGATAAGGTGCAATAGGGAGTGGGCTCAGTGATCTCTCATTTGAACCATCACATTCTACCTTGCTTCAGATGTATATATGTTGTATTTCATCCTCTTTTCCCTATCCCCACTTTTAGATCATAATCTACGCAAGGGCAGAGGTTGTACTACTTTAAAAAAACGACAACATGGGGCAGCTAGGTGGCACAGTGGATAGCACACTGGCCCTGGAATCAGGAGGACCCAAGTTCAAATCCAGCCTCAGACACATAACACTTACTAGCTATGTGACCCATGGCAAGTCACTTAACCCTACTGCCTAGCCAAAAAAATAAAAAATAAAAATAAAAAGACAACAACAAACTTATGGGTATTTACTGGTATTCATTTTATACCTTGTTCCTTGTCCTTCTGTGTCATTCCTTGTAACAAAGAATACCAATGAAATTTTTAAAAAAGCAGTTCAGCAAGACATCACCAAGTGAGTGGTCAGTACAGTGCCTCATGCCCACAGGTCCCCCTGGGCTGTCTTATCTGCACAGTACCTGGCACACAGTGGGTACTGAACTGACATCAAATGGATAAGACACTCCAGTGATTGGTGCTTTTTCCTTTCACCAACTCCCCTCTGTCTGGGTCACAGGAGGAAGTTCACAACAGCCAAAGGCTACCTGCTTGTGGGGCATCTCAGCTCTGCAGCACTCACCTGATAAAACCCCTCCGGGAGATGATTTCGGCATGGCAGTCATTGACTGTCTCTCCCTTTAGACTCAACTCTTCTCCCTTTACACAGCGATTCCCTATGGTTGGGGGAAAACCCAGATGTGAAATCCAAAGGAGCAGAGATTTATAACGGAAACATCAGAGACTACTTAGTTCAATCCCTCAACTCTACAGATGAAGAAACTGAGGCCCAAGGAAATCAGATAACATGTCCAAGGGCACACAGGCGGTAAAGGTTGCAGAGCCAGGATTCAAACTCTGGTTCTGTAATGCCAAATTGGCTGTGCCCCCCCCCCCCCCAGCTTTGAACAAAATCAACTAAATATACATTCATAATGCTGAAACTGAAAAATGAATTTCAATGGGCAAAACATCTATAATAGCCTATCTTTCCCCAAATCTATCTTTGCTTTACAGAACATTTTTATGTAAATAAATGTATCTCTCTTGTCTCTTACAATTTCTTCTATTTAGCAGATAATTTTCCTGCATTTCATAATTGAGTTACGTATCATTCCATTTTCTTATAAGTCACGTCTGCCTAGGCACATATATGCGTCTTCAAAAACAACTTTTGTCTATGGTCTGGCTGCATTTTATGTGGAATGAGGCAAGGTTCTAAATTGCTACTCATATTCCTCTAAAACATTAAGTAATGAATCCTTTTTACCAGTTTTTACTCTTTCTAAATTTATCACACATATCTGTATATTTGATTCTATTTCTGGGCTGGTTCATCCCATTGGTCTAATTTTCTAGTTTTTGAAGAATACTGATTTATAACACATTTTAAAGTCTAGTTTTTAATTTCTTTAGCACTATTTCCCCATCTCTACAGCAACTTCTAATATTCCTGTTTGTTTGCTTGCTACCTAAATGTTATTGAGATTTAATCCAATTCTATAAAGAAACTCTTTAGTATTGCGTTCAGTGTTGTTTAGTACAGCATTACATCTGTAAATTAATTTAGTGAAAATGACAGTATTCTCCATGTTGATATGACCCATCTATGAATACTGAACTCCCTACAATTATTTAATTTTCCTTTACTGGCTAACAAAATTTTATCTTGACCTTTATAAAGGTCTTATGTGTCTAGGTAAATTGTTTTAAGTGGAGGTTTCTTTTGTTAGTAGTCTTTTATTGATAACACATAAGAATATAAGTCAATTTTATGGATTTCTTGTGTCTTGCAACTTTAACGAAGCCCTTTGTCTCAATATTGTGTTTAGACCAATGGACTAGGTAAAAATTTGTACCATCTGCAAAAAAAATGGATATTTTAATTACCTATGTTAATCCCTCTAATTTAGGTTTCTAGTTTTACTGTGCCTGCTAGCATTTTACTGTGTTGAATAAAAATTTCTCTATAACTATTCTTTTTAATATTTTTATTTATGAATGGGTACTGAAATCTATTGGAGGCCTTTCCTGCATCTATCGCTATGATCATATGATTTCATGTTTTTCCTCCCTAATGTTTCATATTATTTTCCTCACAATATTGTGGCATCCATCTTCTCTAGAATAGATTCACTGTCATGATAAATGATTTTCAATGTGCTAAATTCTGCTAATATTTTATATGTTATTTTTACATTTAAATTAATCAATAAGACTATCCTAAAAATCTTTTTAAAAAAACTCTTGTCTTTACCAGATTTTTATAATTAAGGCCATCTATATTTGCCTCATAAAAAGAATTTGTATATTACCTTTTTCCTATATTTTAAGTCTACATAAGTATAAAAATTATTTGTTTCTAAAAGCTTAGAAAAGTAACTGATGATCCCATCAGGATCAAGGGCCCAGGATAGTATTATAATTAGAATGTTTACTTATTTGATTTATTTACTCCCCTAAAATTGTATTAATTTTGTTTACTGATATTTTGTAAGTTTAAATTCTCAAATTAGCATATATAGCTACAATATACCAATATTTTATATTTTTTTGCATTTGTGATTACTTTTTCCATTACTAATTTCAGTGACATATCTTCTCTCCCTTTTCTTGATTCAGTTTGCTAATGGTTTGTCAATTTATTGGTCTTCTAGAGAAACTAGTTCTTGGTTTAATCTATTAACTAAATATTTTCTTCATCTTCTACTCTGATTTTTAGTATTGTTCTTTACCGACTTTTCTTTGGACTATTATTTTTTTCCTTTTCTAAAATCTTCAGGGACAGCTGAAATTCAATTAGTCTCTTCTTTTTATTAAACATTCAGTGTTATAAACTCACCTCTAAGAACTATTTCAGCTAAATTCTACAGATTTTGATAAGTGGCATTCATATGTATGTTATTGTTTTTCTAACTTCTACTTTACTCCAGTAATTGTTTCAGGGACCATTTTTTGGTTTCATGTAATTTATATGTTGAGAAGCAGATGCCCTCAGATAGTAAGGGGACCTTCGTGGATGCTGCTCAAAGTTGAAGGTCTTTTTTTCCCCATGGCTCTGCCTGGCTATTGCGGTAGTGGCCTCTGACGCCTGCCCTCACCCTCTTCCCATTTGGTATCTCCCCAAGTCATTCCTCCCTCTTTATCCTGCCCCTTTCTGCCAGTCCCAGTACAGGTGTCCGTCTCTTTTCAGGCCCTCTTTCTCCCAGGCCTGAGGCAGTACATCTTTCAGCTGCTGTGGTTCCTATTCCCTTTATATACTTCTTTACCCATCTGATACAGGGGAATCCAGAAGGCACAAGCAGTTGCTCCCCTTTGGGTTTTTTCCTCTCACTTTTCCCTCCCTTTCCTGGCTCTTAGAAGTCTCCAAATGTAAAAAGAAATTTGTTTTTATTAATTTATGTTGATTTATTAAAAATCACTTCCATAAGCTTTTGAGTTTAAAATTTTTCTCCCCCTCCCCAAGACAGTGAGCAATCTGATATAGGCTATACATACACATTCCTATTAAACATATTGTCACATTAGTCATGTTGTAAGGAAGAATTAGAACCAACAGGAGGAACTACAAGAAAGAAGAAATAAAACAAAATAGAAGCAAAAATTTAAAAATAGCAAATAGTATGCTTCGATCCAAATGTAAAAATTTTTAAATGACATTTTGGGGAATGGGGCAGGAATTACTGTTTTTGGACTCCACAGAATACTTAGCCAGCCTGGATGTGTAGGAAAGAAAGCATTTATGATGGAAATAATGCTGGATTTGGTATTAAGAGTCTGGGTCAAAACTCCACTCTGCCAAAAATGTAACCGTGGGCTAGTTACTTAACAGCTGGGTCTCAGTTTCCAAAACTGTAAAAGGTCAGGGATGGACTGGACTGCTAAGAAACCTTCCAAAACTCTAAATCAGGGGTGGGGAACCTGTGGCCTCAAGTGTGGCTCTTTGACTGAATCCCCTTAAAAAAAGGATTTGTTCTACAAAACTTGGACTCAGTCAAAAGGACCTAAGGACCTAGAAGGCCACAGGTTCCCTACCCCTGCTCTAAATCCTATTATGTGTGATACAAATTATTCCTAAAGTAGAAAAAAAAAGCAAGATTTCTTCTCCCCAACTTGGGAGTACTCATGCTACTACACATAGATAGGTTTTCTCCTTGAAAGGAAAGACTATTCAACAGCAAAGAAGAGGAAAGAAATCTTGAACTGAATGAGATGTGAAAGGCCAAGATGGCAGGTGATAGGACACTGGTAAAGGGCAATCCTTAGGGAAGAGGTGGAAAGGGGGTGTGTAGGTGAGTGGGGGTGGGCTGTGCATACCTGTCCCAAAGCTAACCACAAGGCCCAGGTCGTCATCGCCTTTCTTCATGATGATGGCAGCCAGGATTTTTCGGCCAAGCAGGCTATGTTGGATGGGTGCAGTGAGGGAGCTGAAGCACTGGTGGCTCAGCATGGCCACTTGATCATGGAGGGTGCTACCAGTCAGAGGAAGCTGCAAGACATGAGGCTGGGTCAGGACCACAGCTCCCCACTGGGGAGATTCTGCCCTATTCTAATGCTTCCACCTTAAAACCAAGAAAAAAGAGTAATACTTTGGAAACAAATTTTTAATTCTCTTAACTATAGCATATGATTTAAAAAAAAAAAGTTCCAAGAATACCTATACGATATATTGTTCTCCTTTCTCCCTCCTCCTCCCAAAATATTTAACTTCTAAATTGTTTCATTTAAGGTAGTCTTTAAATCCCATAGGTCGTCATTTAAAATGTGTTGTGCTTAATTTGAAGGCGTACAATATGTCTGCAGATCACCAAGTGATGCCTCTAGGCAGGGATCTAAGGCCTCAAAGGCGACCAGGAGAAGAAGCAGCAAGAAAAACTACAACTAGGATGGTCCTAGGGAATATGTTACAGGGCAGGTTAGGTTCCCTATGAAGGTCAAACAAGCACAGGAAATGACAAAGGTCCTGTCACTGTGGTTACCTCTGAAATGCCCATGCCCCCTGTGCGCCTTGCCCTCTCTGTCTCCCCAATCAGGACACGCAGGGCTGCATCGGCTGCCTCCTGCTTGCCCTGCTTCTTGCTGTGTGCGCTGACAGCGGGGAACCAGCGACCCCCAACTTTTGCTTGGTAAATGAACCTGTTGGATTAGAAACAAAAGCTGAAAGGCATCATCAAACCTGGAGAGAAAGCCCTTACAAGACTGGCTTTTAAGATTCTAGGTCAACCTTTTTAAATTCAGACCTAGGATTTCATTAGTATTGGAAACTCTCTTCCTCCAGTTGCAAATAGGTGACTTAGGTATTTTCCTAAGACACAGAAAGAGAAAGGGATTTGCCCATGGTCACAAAACAAGTACATGTTAGAAACAGGTCCTGAACCCAGGTCTTCCTGACTCGAGTCCAACACTTGATCTACTAGAGGGACTGAGTGCCTATCAAACTTATTTGCAAATATATAAAAAGTTAATTTTCAAGTATTTCACCCTATTAGAAGGAATAGCACAGAAATTACAGAAATTGTATTTGGCTTTTGATTATATTTTAGTTCTTACATTGAAATACAGATGCGCCTAACATTCCAGAAATTCCTAATACTTAAAATCAAATAAAGAAGCTATACCGAGAAGGTCTGACCCAGAAGCCGCCCATTTAAATTCATCTGAACAAATATTTGTTAAGGGTCTACTAAGTCACTATACAATTTCATCCCACTCTAAGATAAACACTGTCTTTTTGACTGATAGAAAGTGCTCTTTTAGGGCAGACGTGGTCTTTCTTCTTACAAGGTAGCTAGGTAGCTCAGTGGATGGAACACTGGGAGTCAGAAGACCTGAGTTCAAATCTGACCTCAGACACTTACTAGAAGTGTGATTCTGGGCAAGTCATTTAACCTCTGCCTCAGTTTCTTCATCTGTAAAATGGGAATAACAACAGCATCTACCTCTCAGAGTTATTGTGAGGTCAAACGAGATACTTGTAAAGCCCTTTATAAATGCTTATTACAAGGTTACTGGTTCATACTTCACTCCTTACTCCCTTGTCTTGTCACCCGTAGTAAAGACCATGATCCTTCCATCATCAGAGGAACTTCAACCCTGAGGTCCTACTGACTGGATAAGTGTCAGCCTTACTTGGCCTATTATTTCAAGATAATCCCAACCAAGTTTAATCTCAGTCCCAACTCTCTGGTGATCTACTGGACAGCTTCACCAATAGTCTTGCTATCCTTACCCTTTCCCCCCCTCATTATACGTTGCTCTGGAACCACAATCAAATCAATTCTATCCTTGTTCCTGAATGTGATGTTATCAATCCACCCCCAATGGTCTCAATTCACCATCTTTGTAACTTTTTGGATCAAAGTGCCTCTTCCCTTGCCACCTTCTCTCTATTTGTGAGGTTCCTCCTATTAGAATGTAATCTCCCTAAGGACAAGGGACTAAATTTTCTTTTGTATTTATATTCTCAGCACAGTGCTTGGCACATAGTAAGCATTTAGTGCTATTCATTCATTTGTCCTTCCCAAGGAGACAAGGAAACTGTATAATTAAATGTCTGGATTTAAAGGGCCAGATGTCAACAAAGACGAAAGATTAATAAGAGTTTGAAAATAAAATGTGCTATGGCATGCCTATCAATGGGTTTGCACTCACACACACACCCAGAAATAAGTTATTGCCATTGATAGTGAAAAAGCTGGGTCACTATCTGCTGAGAATTGCCGAAGATAACTGAGATGGATGTGGGGCTAGGTGGTAGCGGGAGCAACAGTCCTGGCAATTCACCAGTAGGTCCTAATCTAATTAGAGATTCTTCCTCTTGACAATCTACAGACCAAAACAGAGTTGATAGCACCATAATTTTAACAGTCCAGTTGTAAAATGAGCAAATTTGGCATGTCAACTGCAGATATGAAGCCTGAAGGGCCGATTGTTAAGTATCAGATGCTACCTGGAACTGTTCTTCAATTCTACTAAATACCAAAAGAAATGGGATAAATGTTTTGCATGAGGAATTGAAGTTAAGCAACAGGGGTTAAATTGGATTAGTAATAACAGTGACTGGCTTTACATACATCATTTCTTTGAGTTTCACAACACTTCTGCTGAGAAATTGGCCGTACAGTAGTTATTTTCTGTGGCAGTGCAATGGGAATGGACAAATTCTCACTATTTTAGAAATGTTAAAATGTGTCCCTGCCTTAAGGGGTGATCTCTTAAGGCTCTTTCAGTCTGAAAGCTAATCTGAAAGGTGGCAATCACCCAGCATGTGGCTATTTTCAAGGCTGTTCAAACAATTCCTCAGAGGCTGCAATGCCAAGTCTAAGATCCATTGGAGGAAAGTGCTCCTTCTCTCCCAGGAAGTTGACGTTCTTTTCTTCTCAAAGAAAGCATTTCTTTTCTAGATACTGCGGACACTCCTAGGTGGAGTGAGGTGAGGACCATGGCTAAAACCCCAGAGTACTCACTTGGGCTCATGGGGAGGTCCAGACTGGTCTACCAACTTGAATTCTGCAGCAAAGCCATTGGACCGGGCATATTCAAACAAGCCACTGATAGGGTTGGCATTCAGGTATTTGATAAGATCCCCAATCTTCTTTGCCCTGCCGGGTACTGGCTCTCCTAGGCCACCAAAGGATGTAGGATCACTAAAGTATTCCATGTTTGACTGAAAGAAAATTAACCAAACAAAGGAGACTCATCATTGCTGGCACGTCTTAGCAGAGAAATAGGAGCCCTCTGAGGGACCGAACAGTTTTAAGTATATACCTGCCTGGTCCAAGGGTTCAGGGTAGGATTTCCACAGAGAGCCTTCACAGCCACCTCAGCTGCCATCTGCTTTGCTGCCTTCTTGCTATTGGCCATCATGGTTGGAAACGTCTGACTCCCCATCCTTACGCAGTATTTAAACCTGGCATGGGATGTAGTTTAGTAGAGGGATCAAAACTTTTTTTGAGGGAAGAAATAAAGCTTAGATCTCTTGAGTCTGTCAGCCTTTGGACAACTACTTCCTTAACTTAAATGCCATCTAAGTTTCAAGAACTATCCTTTTCCATTTGCAGGTCTAAGTTTTATCCTGGCCCTAGAGGTAAGCATTTCTTCCTAGTAGGCAGGGGTTCATTTTGCTTCCTCTTTCTCTAGCACCAATGACTTCTATGTCCTGTACTGCTCTAGTCCTTAAGCCTTGTCTTTATCACCAAGTTCCTCAACCTCTTATTTTCTCCCTCTCTGGCAGCGACCTTGTCACTGAGACCCCTCATTTTGCTCCATTCTGAAAAAGACCACCTTAATGAATGAAGCAATTCTTCATTGGAAAGACCCAAGGAAAGCTCTGTTATCACTGTAGGAAACCTAGGAAAGAATGTGGCTGTTCTCTGCACGGAGCTAGGGAAATGCATGCTGGAAGCCCCAACCACAATCTCCAAGAACAATGTGACATACTTGGGGTCATGAGCTGGGCCTTCCTGGGATATGAGAAGGAATTCACAGCTGCTCCCGGATTTTTGCACGTGTTCCATCAATACACTAATGGGGTTCTTCCCAAAAAGAATACTCGAGGGGCTGATGGAACTGAGATCAGGCTCTGGAGCTGAAGGCTACACAAAATAAGAAAAAGGAACAAGAACTTCATGACCATAGCAACCAATACAAGACAGCCAGATGAGAAAGACCATGGTAGAATGTTAGGATGCTTCAACTACAGTTAAAAAAAATGGAAGATTAGGAAGTATTGCCTAAAAAGGACAATGCAAAGTATCTGTCCTGGATAAGGACAAAAATAAACCTCCCATGAAGGCACAGCCCTTACCTTCTCTGGTTCTTCTTCCATGGGTTGAGGCTGAGGCTGAGGCTGAGGCTGAGGCTGAGGCTGAGGCTGAGGCTGAGGCTGAGGTTGAGGCTGAGGCTGAGGCTGAGTTTGAGTTTGAGGCTGAGGTTGAGGCTGAGGCGGTGACGGTGGCGCTGAAGAGGTTACGTCTTCCTGGGCTCCAGACTCTTCAAATAGGACTGTCATGGCTTTTGCAGCAGCATCTTGCCTGGCCAGCTTCTTGCTGCCAGCTTCTGCTGGAGGGAACCGTCGGCCACTGATCACAGCCTGGTATTTAAATCTTTGTGGAAAGTAATTAAATATATGAATGCTCACCTGAGTCGACTCTCCTCCCTTCTTCCATCCCTGTCTCAGGAGTATTTCTGGGGCCATTCCTCTACACAGAGTTCATCACCTGGGGATTTTCTAAGCAAATGGGACTTCTGGATTTATGGGTGAAGATGGAGAAGGGGTCATGGGAATCCTTTGATTGCTGTCTCTTGAGCTAGATGTCAGGAAACTGGTATTCTTTCAGCAGCTAAGCACAGCAACTGGAACAAACACTGGACGTGATATAGAACAACCTGGGTTTGAATTCCTTAACTGCCCCTAGTTATCTGTGACCCCTTGGACAAGTCAGTTAATCTCTCTAGGGAGTTCTAGGGGTCTAGAGAGATCTCTAAAAAGTCTCGACTACACTGCAGACAACCCCACATCTCCGCAAAGACTGAAGACAGGCTTGATGGGTATACAGAGCAGATGGCTAAGTCAGATAACTACCACTATAAAAAAGGGCTGGGGCATCTATCTATCGTCACAGGCTCCTAGCTCGAGGGCTGGAAGGCTAGCTATTCCAACTCCTTCTTTTTACAGGTTAAGGCCCAGGTAAGTTACAAGGTCACATGGATAGTAACACAGATAGGATTTGAACCCAAGTCCTCCACTCGAGAGCTTTTTCCACCGTGCTACAACACTACTCCTGTCTCTCCACATTTCCCATGGTCCTTTTCAGTCCCCAAAGTGAAGTGAATATCTTCTGTAGCCCAAGACCATGATCCCTACACACCAGCTCGGTCCTAAACACACAACTGCCACAGGATTTGGAGGTCTGAATGATCTTTTTTCGGTCTTTGAGGCATTATAAGGTTCCACCTGTCTCAGTATTAAGCTTGAAATCAATGGTGGCTTCCCCTGGGTCCCCCCATGAGATCATTAAAGCACATGTTCAATGCATTTAGATTGCCTGTCTTTCCAAGGGGACACAATCAGCCTGCAGAGGGCCCCAACTGACTTGGGCGGTAGAGAATATCTGTTCCAACTTTCTGCTCAAATGGAGAATTTATTTAAAAAAGGTTAATTTTCCAGTCTCCAGTGTTTCCTGACATATGTGAACATAGCATTAATGTGGCTTATAAATGGAACCCAAGGAGAGGTAAATTGTATACCCTAGATCTACCTTAATTATAGGTGGCTTTAGGGATGAGGTAGTGAGGAGAGGGAGGAAGGAATACCTCTTTTTCCTTACACCAAGAGAAACAGACTTTCCCCTAAAAGAGGGAGGGGAGACGGGATACTTCCCCTGCCTCTTTGGTATTTTGGCTAGACACCTCTTACACTAACTAGAATGAGAAAATTTCTCTTGAGGACAAACAGCACTCCTGTCAACCTTTAGCTTCACTGAAATAACCAATACAGGGATAAAAAACAAAACAAAACTCTGTCTGAGAACATTAGGGTCTGGAGAGCAGCTTTGGGGAATCAAAAAAGGGTCAACTCCTTAATGTGGCTCTGCTCTGCTGATTCTCAGCAGCTTCCCAGTCTCCCTCTGCCACAACCCCTCCCATTCTTCTCTAGGTTCACGCGTTTTTTGTTTTTGTCTTTTCCCCATTTGATTCATCTACCTTAAGAATCTTTTCAGGGTAGGAACTATCCCAAAGATTCTGCCACAGTTTGGCCTCTGAGACCTTTTTTTCAGTTTTACATGTAAGGGGCAAATCTGTTTTCAGTAGATTAAATGTAGCAGGAAGGACTAAGCCACTCATTTGTGTAAAGGAGGTCGGTATAAACAGAAGTGCCCACTTCTGACAAAGGGACAACTGGGGCACACTCTTCTTAACATGGACACTTGACTTTTCTGGACATGGACCTAAAAGTGGGGTGGATTTTGGACTTGCTGACATTTAACAGCCAATTCATTTTAATTCTGTCCGTAGCCCCTCTCATCCCTTAAATGATAATAGTTTTTATTAAAACAAAGCACATACACACAAGTTTGGTTTGGGGAATAAATAAATACAGTCAGCTTGCCATCACGTGTGGACTTAGGAGCCAGGTAAATAAATGAAACCTAATAACTTCCAAACAAGCTTTATTTTAGCCAATAAATTCAACTTCTTTTTCAATCAGAGGATCTGATTTGAGATTTATTTCTCCTCAATCTCTAGCATAATGGGATAATTGACAATGAAATAGCAAAAAGAGAGTAGGAAAAGGTATGAAAAATTAAAAGCCCAAAATATCTGAACCAGAATCTGGTTCATCTGAACCGTAAATCACGGGTTGAATATGAGTCCAACTTTCTACTGAGGTTATGCAACTAAGTGGCCCAGTGGATCAAGCACTGGACCTAGAGTCAGGAGGACCCAAGTTCAAATCTACCAGGCAATTACCACCTGTGTGACCATGAGCACATTACTCAACCTCTGTCTGCTTCAGTTTTGTCCTGGTTAAATGGGAATAATAATAATAGCATCTATCTTCTAGAGTTGTTGTAAAGACAAAATGAAATACTGGTAAAGTGCTTTGAAAACTTTAGAATGCTATATAAATATTATTCATTATTTTTTCCTGTATTGTCTCTTACCTGGGTTCATGCGATGGGCCACTCTGCTCCAAGAGCGTGAACTCACAGGTCTGGCAGGTGAACTGAGCATATTCTAACAGTCCACTGATTGGATTCTTCTGTCGGCAAGCTGTTAGTTTCTTGATAGCTGTGAACTGTGAGGAGGCACCAACACGGGCCATGTAGTTGGGTAAATCCATTATGGTGTGGTCATCTTCCTGCTTAATGCTATTTAAATCATCTGGGATGTCATCTGTGGCCCACTGACCATTTTCAACCTTCATGTCTGAGGGGTCATTGTCTTGAACTGGGGGTTCCTCAAGCAATCCTGGGACGGCCACATTGCCATCCTCTGTTGGCCCTGATGGTGGCTGATGTCCATTCTCAACACTCTCCTCTTCTTTCCTAGTAGTGTGTGTGTTGGTGACATCTGAGTTACCTGGGTCAACCTCAATATCTGTCTGGGATATAGGGATGTCTACTGGGATATTTTCATTTTTTTTAAGTTGCATCCTCTCTCGCTTTTTGTCTGTCAGTGACCACTTGGGAAGAGTGAATCCTTCTCTTCGAACATCTCCCTGCCTTTCCAAGTCAAAGAGTAAGGTATTTACATCTCGGGCCTTAGTAAGGCCAATGTTTTTGGCTAAGTTCAGGGCGGAGGAATCTGGAGCATCAAATAAGTAGGCACAGATTTTCTCCTTGATATCAGCCATGTTGACAAAACTAAGTGGATCGGATTCAGGGATGAAACTTTTGTCTTTCAAGTCTGAATTGAGGCTTTTGTTTGGACCTTTTCGGACAGCTTGTCTCACAACCTGGTTAGCTTGTTTCCAAGCATGGGATGGGGTTGGGATACTCCAGTTAGGGGGTGTGCCTTCTTCCTTGTGCAACTTCCCTTGCTTCAGTAGATGGTACAAAACTCGATTTACTTCCTTCTTTTGGACCCCAAGTTTCTTGACAAGATCATATACTGTAGCAGACTGCCCTTCCCCAAGTTCCCCTAAAAGTTTCAGAATCCTTTGCTCCTGATCTTGACTGATAGACAGCCGTTGGAAATTAAAGGCAAGCTGAGTCACACCTTGCCTTGATGTGGCTCGGCCTCTTGGGGAAGGTGAGCCTTTCCAGGGGGAGGGATTGCTAAGAGGTGGCCTTACAATATTCCAGTTCCCAGGCTGCCTCACGCCACCAGGTAGTCCTGTAAAACTTGGCCTCTCCCTGGTCAGGAAAGATGTTGATGTCTGTTCTCTGATCAGGGGCACTTCTAGGAGTTGTCCCCTCAGGAATTCTATCTGCTGATTTCGGAATCTATCGGGAAAGAACCCCTGCCCCAGCTGTTGTCTGGGTTTGCAGCGATCATAGTCTTGTATCTGCTGGTTACGGTGTCTGTCGAGGGAACACCCCTGCAGGACAAGAAGATGGCAGGAAAAAAGGCAGATTAGGATGGCAGCAGTGAGATTGTGTGTGTGCCTGACACCAGCCTCTGCCTGAAGCAGTACCCCTGTTCATAGTGTGCTGCCAGAATGCAAGTAAGACTCTGGGCTTTTATGTCCCAGGAGATAGACAGCTGGGATCAATTTGCCCACCTCACAGTTGCTACAGAGGCCTGCCAAAGGGAAAATAGAGAGGGAGGGGAAGAGAGAGGTAGAGAAGAATGTAAAAATGGGAGTTCAGATATGAATCCCACCCCTAAACAACGAATTTCTGGAATGAAAATGAAGGCCTTATACAAAAGACTTAGGCCTCACTGTCATAAGCTTCTTTCTGTTAGATAAGCCATGACACATCAATTTCACCAAAACCACCAAAATTCCTCATGGACTGGTGAGGACTGCATTCCAAAACTATAAATGAAAGGTAATCATCAGCCTCAGGTGCCAATAGGAAATTTGTCCTTCTTTCCACACCCATTATACTCTATTATTGAAGCAGTCACATAATTTCTTGCTGTTTTGGTAGCACGTATTACTACCGGGAATAGTGGTCTGAATATAGGTCTCTCTGGTTAGAAAACAGACATTTATATCAAATCAGAGAGCTCTCTGCCTCACTTTAAATTTCCAGAGAATAACAGTTCTCCAGATGTAAGCTGTTTACCATACCTTGGTGAATTTTGGAAGTGAGACATATTTCAAGATGGAAAAGTTCAGTTCTTTAATTAAGCACTTTTCAGTTTGCAAAAAACCCTAAAAACTGAAATTGCTATTTTCAAAGGAGAAAAACTGCCTGTATAGACTGCGGATGGGGGTGGAGGCAGGAAAGATGGAAATCAGTAATACTTATTCCTGAACCCCTCAACATCTTCATATTCATATTGCCCATCTTATGTGGGGCTTTGTTAAGAATTTACTTTAAATCCTAGTTTGTTAAAAACTGTATTTTTAAAAAATGTTTAGAAATCATGTAATGTGTCTGTGTGACCTTGGGCAAATCACTTTACATCATCTCAAGGCCTCACTTTCTTCAGCTGTAAAATGATGCATCAGTCATTTTAAAAGGACCAAAAAGAACTTGTTAAAAGATCTCTTAAAAAAAAAAAAAATCAAAAACCCAAACCAAAACAAACAAACCAAAAAACCTCATCCAATTTTTAAAAAAATATCCTAAATTCTAAATTTCACTCTGGGTCTCAGTTTCAATTGTAAAATGTGGGAGAGGTACATTATAGCTCTAAAGTTCTGATTCTAAAATTCTATGAGCCTAAAATTGCTTGTTGCGAAGCTGTTCCAACAGAGCTAGGACTCATTGGTGCAAAAGAGAATCAATTCTTCCTCTTAATCTCCAACCTTTCTGTAAAGAAACCTTTCTATGGTATGGGGGTGGGGTCCAGACAGTTAAGACTGATCCTCAAATGGTGAGGGGGGCATAATTACCAGTATGACTCCCTTGGCTTCTGGAAGTGGAAGGGGTACGAACATGGTGGTGGCAGTAACACCACCACCATAGGGATCCTTCCAGCAGATCCCAATGTATTGGCTGGAGATGCCATATTCCTAAATCCTCAATATTCGAGCCTCACATTAGGTCCAAGACAGCCACAGGACTCCTGCAGAAGTTAGTTAATAATCAGAAGCTGCCCTTACCTGAAGTTCGTCCATACCGATGAGCATAATTCATCTCACTTATCTGAGCACAAGAAAAGAAACTCCTGTGGTATAAACTAATCCATTAACTACAGGAAAACTTCCCTCTAGAGAAGGAGAAAGGGAGCCTCCAAAGGCTAGCTCTTGCAGTCTAACATCCCTGTTTAAAAGTAAAGAGGAATAACTTTGATAGCATGAAAATAAAACATCTTCCCTTGGTCCTATGGAGACAACACGGCTTGCAGACTTAAAATGGCTGCAGCTAAGTTTTACTTTCATTTACTCAGAAGCACTTCCCCCATAGAAAAGCTCAGATCCACCTAGAGGTGGAGTTAAAGCAAATCCAGGCCAGAGGTATCCGGTTTCACTGAAAAAAAAAAAAAAAAAAAAATCTCCAAT